CTAAGGCTGCGGTCACATTAGAACAGAATAACAGACAGACAAAACCAAAATTTATTTTCCGCCAAAATTTATTTTGTGTCATGATTTGATTGAAAATACGAATGATTAGATTGATTTTCATTTTACATTTTATCGAACCTTACTTGCGACAAAATGATTGATGTTTTTCTTATTCATTGGATCATAAGCCGAATTGTTTACCTAAGAATTTTGTTTTNAACAACAACAACAAAAACAGCAACAACAACAACAACAATATCATCATAGTGACATTACATATTTCGCCATTTTGCTATGGGCTTTTATTTTCAAGTTACAAGGATTTTCATTTCAGAAATATATTTCTCGAGGTTGTTGTATTTGCACAATATGTTTGTGTGTCTGGAGTGTAAACGAAATGGGAGTAAAAATGTCCAGTGTTTTTTTTTCGGCTGCTGCTGTTACAGTTTTTTAAACAAACAACAACAACAACGAAACAACAAAAACAATCAAGAAATATAGAAAAAAAACATATCAATAATAATAAGTGAAGAGGAGCGTAGCAGAAAAAAAAACCAATCAATAATTATCGATGAGTATTTTCCTTGCAACCGAATCACTGCAATCATCGATGATGATGATGATTATTGAATGGAAAAAATCTATTACTGTTATTATTGTTTCCTGAACCATACAAAACAAAAGAAAAAAGAGAAAAATATCGATACTTTATTTATGAATTTTGCATCGTTTTGCTGTTGTTGTTGTTGTTGCTGCTGATGTAATAATGTAAGGAGGGAATGAGAAAAAGAAAAGTTTCTCGTAATTAATATTCTCATTCCTGCTGTGTGTGTAAGTCGAAGATTTTTTTTTTTTTTTTTTTTGGAAAATTTCCCGGAAAAAAATCTTTCACTAAATGATAATGTCAATGAACCAAAGAAAATGCCGTAAAGTTTTTTCGTTTTGAAAAAAAATGTTATGGCTATTTTGTGGTGATTATAATGGTGTCGATATTGAAAAAAAAAACAAAATCCTTTTCCCCCTTCCTCCCCCACTCAAATGGATCATTTCTTTTGTAACCATGGTTTTTTCCTCAAAAATATCATCATTAAAAATAACGACAATTTCCTCCCCCTCCAGAATCCCAGAAGCCAACTGTGTTGATGATGATTTTCTCAACCAAGAAAAAAAGGAAAAAAAATCCATCCCAATTCGTCCATCACTTTTTTGACTATCGAAAAAATTATTGATGAATCTTTTCGGTTGTTTTTTGCTATTTCCATCAGATTCCTGAATTCAATATTCTTCTTGCTTGTCACAAATGCAATGTACGGAATTGTCCGCCCACTTGTTTTCTTGTTCCCGCCCCTCCAATTCTTAATCTAAATTAATTATGACAAATCAAAAATGATGATAATGATAATGACAACGGCTACGAAAAATTAATTATTATTAATGTTCATTTGAATTGATTTCGATTCCATTCCATTCTCATTTCATTCATTTTCGTTTTTATGAAATTCAATCTACAAATGTGTCGAGTTTCTTCGCTTCTTTCGCTGCTTTAGACCAAAAAGGAAAAGAGAAAGCAAAATTGCTGTTGTTGTTGTTGTTGTCAAATTTGTCGTCGTCATCATCATCATCATAGTCAACCAGCAAAGTGAAGTTAAGCGAAAAGTTATTTATGATGATGATGATTTTTGGCTGCATAATCGCTGTCGTTGACGAAAATTCAAATGTCTTCAAGCATTTTTTCGACGACTATTTCCACTTCACATCATTTTAATCCCCGAGAAAAGAAGAAAATAAAAATAAAGCNAAAAAAAAAAATCAATTTCTTCAGAAAATTTGGTTTTGTTTCCGGTTTTTTAAAGCAATTTTTTTTTCGGAAAATTTCTGGTTTTTCCGGAATAATTCCGGGATTTTTTTCAGAAATTTGGTACTTTCAATGTATAAATAGGAGAATCAAAGAAGTTTCTCTTTTGTCAACTACATAGAAAATCAATCAATCAAATTAAATCAATTTGATATTCTCAGAAAAAGAAGAAAAGAAGAAAAAGAAGAAGAAAAGCCAAAGAAAATTCCTCAGCCAAAAAAAAGAATGTCACAAGCCACTTATTGATTATAAGGATTATTATTTTTCAGGGATTCAATCATCTTTGCATCAAGCATCAATCAAATGCATCATCTTTGTGAAAAGCATCATTAAGATTTGCTTGACCTTTTCTGTTTTGTTTTGTTGTTTTTCTTTTTTGCTTAATTCATTTCATTGCATATATTGGATTCCATTCGGTATAATATTTGCTTTTTTTTCGATCAATCGATTGATTATTGATGTTTTTTTTTCTTTGATTTTTCTTCTTTTTTTTGGTTCTGATTAAAGCCGGCAAACTACAAACTACAAACGAAAACAACAACAACAACAACAAACGAAACAACAACAACAACAATCGAAACAACAACAACAACAACAACAAGAATATTCTTTTTTTTTCTTCATAAGGATCCACTTAATAATAATTTTTGTTGTTGTTGTCGATGATGATATTTGATGACCCAAAAACAAAAATCAATTCCATTTGGAATGCAAAAAAATGAGCGAGCCAAAACGAATGTAAAATTAGATCAAATAACAGCAGAATAATGCCAGAATGCAATGTCTTATTTGTTTTTCGTTTTTTCTTCTTTTTCTTTTTCCTGAATTTAAGCAAAACACACACACTTGATATGTTCGATAGTCAATTGAGAATGTGAATCTTGAATCTAGGAAAATTCTTTTTCTGTGATCCACTTTACACAAACAAACAAACGAAATAAGAGGAACTAAGAAAAACAACAAGAAAATTGCATAGAGATGTAATCGGCAGTCATCGTTGATGTTTTCATTTTCTTTGCCTGTTCTTCGCCTGTTTGTTTTTTTCCTATTTTGTTTTCAAGTTTAGTTTTTCTCGTTTTGTTTGTTATCGATCTCTATTTTTTGAAGATAATTTGTTCAAATAATGATGTAATGATCATCATTGATGATCAATACTGATAATGATAATAACCATAATCATTGAATGATTTTTTCTTCTTCAAATCAAAATGGTAAGATAAGATTGAAAATCTGTTTGATTTGAAATGTTTGAATAATAACATCTTTATTCAGTCACTTTTCAGTCATTAGAATAGAGAGAAGAAGAAACACATTAATCATTCCAGATTCGAAATTGTCTTTTTTCGTTTTGTTTTTTTCTACTACAAATTCAAATTGACAATCAAAACTTTTTTTCCAAACAAAAAACAAAAGAAGAAGAAGTAGAAATTCTCCAATTTTGTTTCTCTGGGGTTAAATTACTTATTATTACTGTTACTGTTGTTGATGTTATTGATACTTTTTTTATCAATTTTCAAGAATAAAAATAAGAGACAAACACACACAAAGAATCGATATTCTCATTTTACTTACTTCAAAAGATTCCAGAATAAGATTTCTTCGTTTTTACTCTTGCCAAAGAAGAAGCGAATCTCACTTAATGAAAAGAAATCTGATGGGAATCAGGATGGTGATGCTTTTTGGAATTTTATTTCATCAGTGAAACAAAAAAATATCATTTTTTTCTGTGTCCGTTTCATCAATTTTTCCATTTTCTGTGGGTGCAATTTGCTCCGTCTGTTGTTTTTCTGTGTTTCGGACCACCAGAAAATGTCAAACGAAAATTAATTACATTTTTTCTGTTGTTTCTGGCCAAAAAAATGTGATATTATAATATTCATTATACAAAATGCGCTTAATAAGCATTTTTTTGTGTTATGGTCAGTTTAACCTAACCTAGCATTAAACTTGTAAGTCAGCCTAACCTGACTTCATTGAACTAAATGAAAAAAAAGTTATGCAGTTGAAAGTTTTGTGAACAGAAAACAGAATCCAGAATTTTATCGTTGAAAAATCTATTAAAATTTCTTTGCCAGATGTCGTCCAGAATTCTTGCTTAGTTTTGTTTATTCTGAAAGCCAAGAATCCAAAGCAAGTAACCACACATTATTCTTATTCATTATCATATTATCATCAAACAGAAGAATCTGACAGAAGAATCTCCCTTCCAGAATAACAAAAAAAAAACGTTAAATTCTTCTTCTGGGCAGAAAAACTTTTTTTTCAAACAAAACAAAAAAAAAAGTTTACAAAAACTTCATCGATCGATTGATTTGTAAGCCACAATTGTTGTTGAAATCAACAACAACAGCAAAAAAAAAATTAATTATGAAATGTCGGACGAAGGAAACTTTTCGGAAAAAAGTTTTCGGAAAAAGTTTTCCAAAAAAAAAATGTAAAATTCATTCAAATGAAAAACTTTACAAAAAAATTAAAATCCTATTCAAAAAAAAAATTGATGAAAAAAACATTCATTCATTCATCTGATTTGATTGCAGCATGAATGAATAAAATCGATAAAATTGGTTGTTGTTGTTGTTGTTGTTGCTTGTTGTTGAATAATGAATGATGTTGTTGTTGATGTTGAAAAAGTGTTTTCGAAACAAGCAAACAAACAAATGAAAAATTTCAAAATGTTCAACAAAAAAAAACGAAAACAAGTGTAAATCGAGTGCAAAGAAAGTTTTCGAAAGTTCACTAAAGCTTGTCTTTTTTTATTGAAAAATTGTGCACCAAAAAAACAGCAACAGAATCGCGAACATAACAGAATCACTGACAGAACAGAATAAAGATTCTTGTTGAACCAAAGAACAGAATTGTGAAATTTAAATTTTTTTTGCTGTCGTTGTTATTATTATTGCATAACAAAGATGTTAAGCAGATCAAATTTTTTTTTTCTATGGGAAAAAAAATGTTGTTTTGAATGAAAATGATCAAAATGATCAAATAACATTCAAAAATAATTTATTTTTTTAAATTTTTTCGAAACGAAAATTACAGGTACAAATCAGGTAATGAGGTGGGGATGGTGGGGTTGATTGGTAAGTTTGATTATTAGTTAGTTGGTTATTGATAATTATCCGGTACAGTACCATTCAATATATGTTGATTAATCAATTTAACTTTAAAACAAGATTTTTGTTCACTTTCCAATTCAAATAATAATAATGTATTAATATCATCATTGAAATTAAACCAAACATTCGGTATATATAATGTTATTTGTGGTCCCATAACCGGCCAATAACGACCTAAATTATGACCATTTAAAAATGCTTGTCCTTTACGTGAACAACTACGAACATCAAGAAACCATTCTCGCTGGCGATCCTTATCGGTCATATTGAATACACCTAAATAGAATGCAGGATGTAGGTTGAATGTACGTTCAGGACAATCATTCATACAATCATGATTGGATTCTTCATTTCGGTTATTCAAAAATCGATTTTGTTGTTGTTGTTTTCGTTGTTTTTGTTGTTTCATTGATTTTCGATAACCAATCGAAATTGTATCGATTATTGTTGACCAATTATAAAATAATGGATATTGTTTCCATTTTTTTAATAAACGATTACCTAATGTTACATTACCAACAATTCCCTTTCACATATAACGTAATGTTGATGTTGTAAGGGTAAGAAAAATGAAAGAAAATGAAAGAAAAATAAAAGAAAATTAATAAATTTTTTGTTTGTTTGTAAATTCTTCTTTTCGTAGAAATAATAATAATAATAATAATCCAAGTTTACTAAAAATAAAAATAAAAATACTAAGTACTTTTTCAATTTACTTGATTGCA